GCCGTAACCGCCAAAAATACAAAAGTGAAATGGAAAAGTCAAGCTTGAAATTGAATAGGATAAGAATCTCAAGGGCGCCTCAAAACTATAAAAACTATATAGTTTTAAGGCGCCCTTTAGTTGTAGTTTCGTCGTCTTAAAACAATGAATCGCTTCATCACGTTTCCCAGCTATGGTTCTTACTGTCTAGACAGTAAATGTGCTGTCGCGTAAAATGATGCATTTTATTTGTATTTTTGTTATTCCTTTTGTTCCGAAATATCATTTACTTACTGATATTGCGACAAGATGATGAGGGTATAAATTTATTGGTTAACAAGCTAAAATAGACAAATGTGAAAAAGGTTATTACCGGAGTGAGGCTCTTTGAGTCCAGTGGACAAGGACGACGAGGCTACAGAAATAATTTTTTCCTGTGGTGAACATCGAGTGGATGGCGTGGCGAATACCTCGTTCTGGCGAATTTGGCGCCAAATTGGATCTGAATGACGTAGGTTGTGACGTCAGACCCCACATAGACTGTTTCATTTCAAGCTTGACTTACCTATGCACCCTATGCAGAACGAAAAGAGACTGGGAGCGATCAGCTTGAAAACGAGGCTAGTTGGGCCTGGTAAATAAAAATGGCCGCCTGATGTGAAGGGGAGTTACTACATCACGGGCGACGAGCGGGGATAGATAAAACGACCCAAATATGAGCGGTCAGCGGTGAAACAGCTTTTCTACTTCATATAGAGACATATAATTTGTTGTTCCAGAGACAATCGTGTTGTAAAGCCGAAATGTTAACAGTTTACTTCACAGTTTAAGCAATTTTTCATTTAAATTTATTGAACTCATATCTTTTACTGCTTTAATAAACAATGGAGGCTTCGGAGAGGGAGTCAGTCGCATTTGGAAAGGCACCAAGAATAATTATATATATGGTTTGTAGCTAGCTGCGTCACGTGCATGACATTAAGATAGATTTTCACGAGCGTCAATGGTGCAGAATCGTAACTTGATGGAGCCAACAGTGGACAACATCCCAGAATTCAAACTTTGTGATTTTTTTCTCGGCTTAAACGCTAAGTCAGTTGTTCAATTGAATAGGAAGAAAAACATTTCGAACGGAAAACAGCATTATTTGCACGTGTGGATCTTTTGAGAAAAGGTCTCCTAAACGAGTGGTCTTGATTGTAAATATTTAAGGAATGGTAAATACATTAGCCTTAACATGGCTGTTTCTCGAAGCTCAGTGTTTTCCTACTTGCCTTTTTTCCACGTGAATTGGGGGCGATTGAATAGATATAATATGCAGTAAAAGAACTTCAGCTGATAGAAATTTTAAATTTCTCATCTTAGGCTGTGGATACAAAATTCAAGTGAAAAGGAAGCCAACTGTGATTAATGCTTTGAACAAGTCAAGATACGTTTTTTTCGTCACACAACAAGTTACATAACGTGAATATCATTCTTCTTGATGCCTTTCCCGGTGTCACCAATGCCTTTCCCGATGCCTCCGTTGGTTAATAGAGCATTAAAAGTATTGTTCCAGTTAAAGCTTGAGGAAAATTGCTTAACTTTTTAAGTAGCGAACATGTTGTAATCGTGTTGTAAAGTAGCTTTACAACACGATTGTTTTCTGCAACTACAAAACGTACATTTAATTCTTCTTGGTACCTTTCGGATGCCACCGATGCCTTCATTGTTTATTAAAGCAGTAAAGATTTATGTACAATCAACACTTTTGAATTGCTTAACATTTTATTTAGCGAAGTAAACTGTTTACACTTCGGCTTTACAACACGATTGTTTCCTGATACTACAAATGATCTGTCTGTATATGAAGTATTAAAGTTGTTTCACCGCTGACCACTCGTATTTGGGTCGTTTTTTCTATCCCCGCTCGTCGCCCGTACTTCATGAAACACCTAGCTGAGATATGGCTGGTGACAATCCAAATGATTTGGAAATGGGTAAAAGTGAGCTAGAGCTGACAGTGGCAGCATCTGGAAAATTCAAAGATAATCCCGATAGACTTCCAGGCCTTGAACAACTGGTTTGTATATTTTAACAACTCATAAACGATTCCATTTTTTGAGGGGAATTTATTAGCTTACGACAGAGCAGTGCTCCGACAATAACGGAATTAAATCATGTGTTTTTCCTTTAACTTGGTCTGTTTAATTTGACGTGTGAAAAATTTTTTTGACCTATGGCTCTTTGTCCTAATCAGTGATACAGTTTTGATTTAGATACATTAAATTATAGTTTATGTATTGTTAAAAAGTCGGAATTGTTACTTTTTTATAACATTCTTCCATTTCAGGTATGGGACTATTTTTTTCCTTTCCCACTTATATTTACATGAACAACTAAGCTATTGCAACCATCTTACCCATTTTGAAACACTCAAGAAAGAAAGTGATAAACTCTACAACTTACAGTTTCAGAATGTCCTTTTATGCAATAGCTGTTTTAATATTATGCAGTTTAAGCTCAATGCATTATTGATAATTTGAAGTACAATTTCATGAATCAGTTCCAAGAGCAGATGATTCAGGTTGGTCAATTATGCCTGGTGATGATGATGATATATATGATATATCCTGAAATATTTACTGACTCATAGACTTTACTATGGTGCAATTTTTGTGTGACTTTACCATTTTGGACTTTCATTTGGCAGATTAATCAGCTTTTGGAGATTCTGCTTGAAAGTGAACTAAACTTTAAAAACAGATACCAGCTGTTTAGAGACAGAGGACAGAAATCAAGGAAGACTTTGATGCATTATGCTGCTGAGCTTGGCTTCTTACATGTCACCAAAACACTTGTGAAGAAATGTCCTGGACTGCTAGCTTTGATGACAAGAGAACCCTACAGGGAAAAGCAAAGCCTGTTGCCTGTTGAGTTAGCCTTGTTAACACAGAATGATGATGTGGCAGCATATTTGATCCAATTAATGAGTCATAACAGGTATGCATGCACGTTCCTGAGTAACTTTATCAGACAGTTCAGGAGTTTCCAGCACCTGAGGTGGAGCTGGGTTTTAAAAGACCAAAAAAATATTTTGAAATGATATGTGGAATTTATTGACATGATAATGCTTGGCAAAGATTTTTATCAAAGGGCTGGCATAATGTGCAGATTGCTTATAAAATCTTTGAGAAGAGGGCTGATGGATGTTATGGAGGAACTCAGTAATTGACTTTGAGTACTTTAAAACCATTTCCATTATATAGTTATGATCACATTCTGAATTTCTTTGAAATGAAACTGGAGGGTAAGTTAAATTGAATAAAAATTAACAGTAATCACCTTCACAAAGTGTGAAATGGGAAGGGAATTCAAAATACAATGGGAGATCTTCATTTTCTCAAGTTTTTTGAAACTTAAAGGCAACATGTGGCTACTAGACTTTCTGTTGATGAGTTTGTATTTCCTTGGTTATTAGAGCACAAATTTTATTTTCTTGGATACCAGAAGATTTGACCAATCCTCAGCCATCTTTATTCAGTTTCAAGTCCATTATAGAAAATCCTAAGATGAAGGTAAGCATTTCTACAGTTATCTAATATAGCAGTTCAATACTTTTTTTTTTTTTTTAAGTATCAGGACAGAAAAAAAACCATAGAGCCATTGATGAGGATTTTATGAATTCTTGACTCTAGAAAGAAACTTGACTAGGTGATGATCTAATACTAATATACATACACTGTATGCCTTTCATATGCATATCAGTATACTGAAATGTATATACATGCTATACATGAATATGATGCAAACTTGTGGCTGTAGTTTTTTTTGAAGGTATATGGTATAATGTTTTTTTTTTCCTGTCCTTGTGATAATAAAAACAGAAAACAGTAGTAGCATTACTGGACCAGATGGTGAATCCTCACTGGCCACACCTTCCAAAACGCAAGGAGAAGTATGATAGTGATAAGGAGAGGGCTGGAATTGAAGGGGTCTGGAGAACAATACCAGATGATCCTTTGAATTATCATTTTTACTATCATATTTTGGATGGTGATGAGGGAGGACGGCCCCCAAAAGTTTTTATGCTAGGAGGACAAGGACTGACAGAAAACAAATATTTCAACTGGAGGGACAAGTCTTGTTTACATGTCATCGCTAAGAGCAGAAATTTGGTAAGGTTGAGGTTTTGAAAGGAGAAATTATTCTATGTGTGGTTATCCTATGTTTGGAGATATGCATGCAGGAGTTATCCAAAATATTTGGTTCTCTAGCTTGATAGATCAAGGGGTTGTAGCAACACTCTCAGATTTTTGGGCTCATTTGCCAAGATTCTGGCTTTTACTTATGTTTACCAGCTCAACTAGTTTAAATGTTTTGATTTGGTGCAGGCAACACAATTTTTTGCTGTTCTAGTTGTAGAAAACTTATATTCTTGCTTAGACATTTCCTCTTTGGTTTCATGATTTTCCAGGAGGCCCTTCAACATCCTGTGGTCAGAATGTTGGTTAAAGCAAAATGGAAAAGTTATGGACACTTCTTTCTCAGGTGCATGTAAACCCAGAGGAAAAAAATTGGGTTACCTAAGATTGTTCCATCATTCAATTGAAAAAAAAAAAGAAATAGAAATGATTGTGTCCAAGCTTCTAGGAATGTATTGGAGCAAAAGAAGGGTTTACGGTGGAATTAAAGAGAAGAAATAGAGACTGAGGTTAGAGTAAGAATTTCTGGAGTATTCCAATCCATGTGCCAAACAATAGATTTTTTAGATGCCTGGATATGGCCTTTAGATCTGTTACTATAAAATGCTGAAATGAAGCACAAATGAAAGCATTATAATGTATATTTGTAATGTAAAATTTATTTATACTTACTAATAAGGTTGCTATTTATTTCACAGCCTTCAAGCAGCATTGTATGTGATCTTCTTGCTGTGTTTGTCATATTCTCTGCTGAGTGCTTCCACAGCAGGGAACCCCACCCAATATGGGGGGGAGACTGATTCACTGCGTGGATTTTGTGAGATTTTCACCCTTATTATGGTGGTCTTTTACATATGTGAAGAAATTAATCAAATGAGATTGTAAGTATGCAATTCCAGTGAGTGTAAAATCAAGTGTTCATGTAGGTTGATATAGATTAGGGAAGACTTGGTAGTAGTTTAGAGGTGGAATTAATTACTACACAACCAACTTTGAGCGTTTGCCTTTTGTCAGATTGAGTAGAGGTGATGGAATTGTTAGGTCATGGTAAGGTCATGGTAAGGTTAAAAACATAAGAATGAATTAATTTAATGAAAAGTGTTCTTTGCAAACTTTTAATCTGTCTGATTTCCCTTAGAGAGGGGAAGTCGTACTTCACAGAATGGATGACCCTGTTTGACTGGTCAGGCCTGTTGCTTATCCTGTGTATAATACCCTTACGGTACACGCAAAGTAAAGCCCAGTGGCTTGTGGCATCTTTAGCTTTCTTGTTCAACTTCCTGAGGATCTTTAAGTTTTCTTGCCTGACAAGGTAAACTGGATCATAAGCTACGTTTGATAGGTTTGAGAGAATGTCAGCAAATTAGAACAAGAAAATCATATCTGTGAAACTTACTCACACAGTTGGCTTAGGTTTGGATTTTGGTTAACAAGCCTAATTTATAATTAGTGCAACCCCACCGTCTTGGCACCTTCATGATGGAAATTTGGAAATTTTTAAAACGTCTCAACGAAAAAAAGGTATAGAATAGAAAGATTAAAAAAAGCGTCCAAGGAGAGGAGACAGACGGGAGAAATGGAATTAAAAGAATAAAGAAGATGGGCAATTTGTTTAAAACAGCCAAATGCTTTCCATGGAGACGACGCATGGCAACGTATCCACCTCACCTGAAATTTTATTAGAAGACTGTTGAAAACTGTTATATTCTTATTTAGTATAATTCGAACATCATTATGTATCACATAACTTGTGTCCTTAATGTAATAGAACCGTGTATATTTTTTTTCAGGACAACCGGATTATACACAAAAACCTTGGCTAAGATCATTTTGCACGATGTGACAAGATCCATGGCGGTTTTTATTGTTATCTTTTTTTCCTTCTGTGGTGCTTTGTCTTTATCGCTCTGTTACTCCGATGAAAACCAACAGTTTAGGTATGTCTTAATCTTGCTTGCTTAAATGCTACTGAATAAATGTGTTGAATTATTTGGTTGGCTGATGTTTACTCTGCACTATCTGCGAATTTTAGTTGGATGAAATGTATATGATAACACCTGAAGTGATATGAAATTTCTGTTAATGTGTTGCAGATCAGTCTATGTGTTACAGTCCATGCTAAATCCATTTTTTTTTTACATTAGTGACTTCGGAGATGTGTTATTGAGTGGCTTTCGCGCGCTCTCTGAACAAAGACCAATTGCTTACGATTATTCAAATTTCAAGTGAGTTGATTTTTCTCTAAAAGGTCGAATATGTTTTTACTCCGTTTACTTGTTCAGACCTCTTTACCTTAAGATGAGTTTATTACCACTAAGATAATAGGTGAAACTAACCACGTTAGAGCATTTGATTTATTCCTTGCAGCTGGCTCTCCATTCTGTTAATGATGGCCTACATGGGGATCGTGATAGTGATTCTACTCAACATTCTCATTGCACAAATGAGTACGACCTACACACAGGCCAAGAAAGTCGCCCGTCTGGAATATGATGTGGATCGTATTCTACAACTCACACGCATGGAGAGATTTCCTTTTCTGGTAAATGAAAATTCTTCGCTAATGGAATTGTAGCATTTTATCATTAAGCGTGCACCGGTGTTCGTGATTGACGCTAAGTGGCAGCGTGCATTAGCGCCATACGTGACTGTGAGTGTGAGGAGAAGAACGCACCGTTAGGGTAGGAGGGGGCTTAGGTATAGTTGTATTCTTCTGCAATTGAGGGGTGGCGTCATAGACGTAATTACTTTTACATCTTTTCTTTATGCAGAATCTGCGCGTGAAGTATTACAAAGAGGGAGACTGGATCAGTGAAATGAAACTCGCCCAAGGTCTGCGTGAAGTATTTAACCAGGACTACTTTCACGATAATTTTTATGCGTAGCAATCGGGAAAAACAGTTTTTTTTTAGTCTTGTATCCTATTTGTACTTCTCTGAACGAAGGGAGATGAAGAAGACCTTCGGCTAAGTTGATACTCAGTTATAATAAAAAAGGAGTAATCTTTCTCATGCCTTAACAGCTGTAAGGTTCTTTATCTTCCTAAATGTGATCTTGGTTTGTTTGTAGATCTTCTTGAATTCAGTGAAGATCGCAGCCCTTGGGAGTCGGTGGAAGAGAAACTTACTGCGATTCGGTAACAATTAATTGCTTTATCTTATTTCCTCTCTTTTGTGCTATCAGCTTTAGTTTTGAACTCGTTCTCTCATTACTGGACTTTAGAAAAGACCGACTTCCTTGTACTCATTCTTCTTTGTTTCAGCAGTCATGTTTCACTCCTTCTGTTTTATTTTCTTGTACAGGGATATGATGACGAAGATGGTGAAACAGATGAGGCCTGGAATCAGATGAATGGAGCTTTGTGTGCCCCAGTCCCCTTTTTATGCGCCGATTTCTTTAGTCATTTAACTGGTAATTTTTATACAACAACGTTGACGCCATGAGACTGGTTGAAGGCTCTAAGCCTTATCTGCCTCTTTTCTTATTTGTTTTCTGTGGTATATTCGTAAGAAAACAAAAGAAAGGCTAATGAAAACAAAATGAGTGGACGTAAAGGGGCCAGTCAGTTCTAAAAGCCAAGTGTAGTATAACATGCGTTTAAGCAAGTCGATTGGTCGTAAATAAACGTTTAGTACACACAAAAAAGAAAACACCACTGAGCTTTCTTAAAACTGTTTGAAAAGCTTCATTTTGTATCCGACACTCTTGACAGTAAACTTGAGTGTGATTAACATTGTATGCTTACGAAAAATGAAGGTCAGCTTTAAGAGAGTTAGCTTATAGAAATTACTAGTTTTTGTTTGTTTTATATTACCACAATACTTCTCCCACAGAATTATTTATGAAATGTGAGGTTAATTAGGAGATATTTAGTTTATACAGAGTTCTTTTATTTATCATTTTACCACGGATACTTTTATTGAAGAGTTTAGCGTACATTGAATGAAAATAAACTAAAATCAACTATTATGGGAAAGACTTCTTTGGGTTTCATTTCGAATAGAAGATTTATCAGTAGTATTTTGCAAATTTGCTACGTCGTACTGTCAGTCCCACTGACTTCAAAAACTGAAATGAAGAGCTTCATCGTAATCTTAGTGGTGTTTATGTGTGCAGTAGGAAGTCAAGTGAAAGGTCCTGAGTTGTAAAATTGGAATACGTGACTTGCACAGACACCCTCTCAATACATTACCATTAAAAAAAAGCTTCTGGTGTAATCAACGTTAAAGGTCTCGGTTCATGTTAGAACTTGTTGTGAAAAAACAAAACAAAACCCAAAAAAAGACAATTAAAACAAGTTAACAAACACTACGTCGATAGTAGGTCAAGAGGTTGTCAGTCTACGGCACAAGAGAAAAAGAATTGAAATCACTCGGGGAGAATGAATCATCTGTGCACACATGAAAGCTTGGTCCAATATACCAGAGAACATATAATCCGCTATGAGTAGCAAAGCCTCAGCGGGCTCTATTTTCGAATTTTGGCAAAAAATTTATATTTATCTCCCGTTCTCCCCCATCTTAATATTGCTTGGTGTTAACAAAATAGGTTAGTTAATTTTTTGCAACACTTTTTTAGGGGGAAAAAAGGGACTTTTAAGTATTAGACATGGATTACAAGATATCTGTTTATTATGTTTAATGCATGGAGGGTTGTCGACTACCCACTTAAGGGAAGCGTTCCAACTACTTTTGCCACTCAATGTAGCTTTACCAATCGCCTCGATAATGGGGCCGTAGATTCTTTTGATTGAACTTACTAGTGCAAAAGGATTATTTCAAAGGGGCTCAATAGTTATCCATGAGCAAATAGGCTTAACAGTCTTTTTAAAAAACTTTGCACCTGTCGAATGATCGTTTCATTTCCAATTTTAGTGCGATGCAAAACGTAAAAGAATCAGCCTTGTTAAATTCATCATTCTCTTCTGGGGCTTTAAATAAGGCTTAGGTCCTACTGTCCATCTATTTTTGTGAAATTTTGATTCTATATTGCATATTTTTACCTATATCAACATTAGCCTAATAAGTAGCCACCTGATTTAGACACGCATAGCTCTATTCGCTATTTAACTTCTGTATTTAACAGAGATCATATTTAGAAAAAAGTCTATACCCGGGATGGAGTATTTGAATTGTTTTTGGCGTTTTGAAATTCCAGAGAGTTGTTTATCAAGGAGAAATACATTCCCTTCAATGGTTTCAATAAATGCAAGGCACTTTCACGGGCAAAAGATATGAAGTTTGTCATACACACTGGGATGGATCGCTCGCGCACTTTAAATAAGTAATTGGTACTGAACTAAGGCCTAACTGGAAAAAATTATCAGTGAAGTGAGTTTTAACGAGTATTGGGTTAGCAGTTACCGGGAGGAAGCCACCCTATATTGCCATATGATGACAATAAACAAATCTAACAGATGAGGAAAAACAAACGGAAACATTTCAAAAAGAGAAGACATGCTCCCTTCTTTGGCTGGAGGACTACAATATAAACCAATTTATTTATCAACAGTCAACATTCTCCTTCTCATCACAGCATTTCATGGCAATTTTCTTATCCTTGCCGCCCTTCACAGGGAATCTTCCCTTCATCCGCCGTCCAAACACTTATATCGTTGTCTGGCAACAACTGATCTGTTGTTGGTCTTGTTAGCCAGCCCTTCAATGCTATTTATTGGATGCTCGTGGTTCACAAACGATACCCAAGGGACGCAGCCTACATAACAGGTTATGCATTATGTGTAGCTCTGTGATGACGATGGCGGCCATAAGCTTGGACAGACTTCTCGCTCTGTTGTTGGGGCTGAAATACAGACAAATTGTGGCTTTGAAGCCCACATATGTTTAGGTTTTATCTGATGCCGCTGTTTTAAGCCTCATTTTAAATTACATTTGGTATACTCACGTAACCAGGCCATCTTACTTATTGATATCAATCGCTTCGTACACAAAGATTTTTGGCGCCCTTAGTCATCACATATATTGTTCGAACTATCTTTTGGATTGCAGCTGCTGTTGCTGCTTTATGTACCATTTTTGACCATCGTAAAACCTTTTTGTACGACATTCTAAGTATACCATCTTGTCTGGTTTAACTCGCCTCGTACGCAAAGATCTTTCACACTCTCGGTCGTCATGACGCTTGAGTACAAAATCATTTTCAACATCAGCGAAGCCAACTTATCGCACCAAACGTGGGTACAGTTATCTTTTAGTGTTTGTTCTGTGCCGTATGGTGTTATGGAAATTGTTACCAGCTCTAACAAAACGTATTCATCACATGTAGCTCTCTTGTGGGAAATAGCAGTTTCAATAGTTTACTTTAACTCAACGTCAAACCCGTTGAAGTAAGACAAACACTGAAGCAGATAATCAGACAAGCTCTCTGCCGTCCATGGACTTAAATCCCGCTTAAGTTTCAATGACCGTTGCTTTACAAAGTTACGGTTATCATTAGATATTCGATTTCATTAGCGTGCAAACTGTTGTTGATATGATCTATTTCCATATGAAAGACAACGAACGATAACCTTAAACATCCCAAGCACATCATTGTTGAAGTGAAGACACTTATCTTCGATACAACAAAAGATGAATAAGGAGAAAAGCCTCTTGCACGTATGGTCTAGAAACAATTGCTTGAGTGATATCAATCCTCACCGAACGTTAACCAAGTAAAGAGGGTTTTTCTTTGCCATACTATTCCAAAAATGATGATAACAGAATTGTTCAAGTGAAGACACTTATCTTCGATACAACAAAAGATGAATAAGAAGAAAAGTCTCTTGCATGCATGGTCTAGAAACAATTGTTTAAGTGATACCAATCCTCAATGAACGTTAACCGAGTAAAGAGGGTTTTCTTTATCATACTATTCAAAGATGATGGTAACGGATGTCTTCAAACTTGCCTCTCAATTCTTATTGATACCTGAGGCATATGGAAAATTCGTGAAACAAATTTACCTTTTTTGACACCCCACACGGTGTATTTGTGTATTTCAGTTAGACAGGTGCTTTTAAGAACAAAAATCTCTCGATCGTTACAATTACAAGTAACCGTAAGGGAAAACGTAAATCGTTTGCAGAATGATGGCGGCAACAAACTCAACGGAAGATGGAATGCAAATGAAAACATTTGAAGAACTTGTATGTTCCTCTTCTTCGGAGGGCGAATTGCGACAATACTCCTTGCTTCTGTCAGCAGTCATCATTTTCTTTTCCCTTACAGCATTTCTTGGGAATGCCCTGATTGTCGTTGCACTTCACAAGGTGGCTTCCCTCCATCCGCCGTCCAAACTCCTGTACCGTTGTCTGGCAACGAGTGATCTGTTGGTTGGTCTTATAGGCCAGCCTCTCACTGCTACTCTTTGGATGTCGGTTGTTTTCGAACAGTGGAGACTTTGTCGATTCGCATGGGTAGCAGCCTCCATTTCAGGGTATGGATTATCTTTTATATCTTTGTTGACACTGGCAGCCATGAGCGTGGACAGACTTCTCGCCCTGTTGTTGGGGCTGAGATATAGACAAATTGTAACTTTGAAGCGCACATATATCATTGTCGTTGCTCTTTGGATTGTAACCGTTGTCGCTACTCTATGCGAGGCGTTAGGCTCTCATATAGCGCCCTGGTTCGGTCGAATTGTCATCCCATGTTGCCTATTAGTCTCGATTGCTTCATATGCAAAGATTTTCCGCGTTCTTAGTCATCGTCAAGCTCAAGTACAACATAATATTCAACAACAGCCGAGCCAACCAAATGCACTGAACATGGCGCGATACAAAAAGGCAGTGTACAGTGCACTGTGGGTACAGTTAGTGTTACTTGCTTGTTATGTGCCTGTGAGTTTAGTGGGAATTGTGATGGCTCATAGAAAAGGAAATTCATCGCATTTAGTCGTCGCTCTTGGAATAGCGAATACCCTGGTTTATTTTAACTCGACTTTAAATCCGTTTCTTTACTGCTGGAAGATTAGTGAAGTAAGAAGAGCAGTTAAGCGGACAATCAGACAAGCGCTTTGCCGTCCAGGCGGTTAGATCTTCCATTATACTCTTTTTTAATTGTTTCAGGCGAGTATGTAGCGTGACGATGCTATTAGATAACGCATCCCGTCGGATATGTCATTTCATCATAACCATTATAATTTCCTCAAATGTGATTGGTGCATTAACTGCTTTATTTTTTGCTAATCATTCTGTAGAGCTGTAATCGGACAATTTAATCGGACAGTTGGCTGTAGTCGGACACCTGTAATCGGACAGTTGAAGTAGTCAATCACACTAAGTCCATTCATCCAAATCCACCAATCACAGAATTAAAAACAATAACCATAGCAACAGCCACTTATCCTAA